ATCATGCATATGTGTCAGTAATGTTAATGCGAAACAGCTGGATGAGTCTTTCAATCTAGGAACTAACCAAACATTTTAGCAGAGCACAGAACCCTTTCAGCTTTAAAGTAGTTCGTAAAAGCTGAAGTAGCTCATAGTGTCCCTCCTGACATGGATTAGGTGGTCACCCTAGCACAGATATATTTTCTGACATCTCATGTGGCTCCATCTATGTTCTCCAAGGTCTACAACACTGACACTTAGATGTTCAGACTGACTCAAGAAGCTAAGATTCAGTTTAGGTGCATCGATCCTTTGAGACGACAGAGTGACCACTGGGCTATCTGCAGATGTTCGAGAGCCTAGTCAGGGTCACAGCATGAACGCTGTTAGTTACCAGCAGGATCTGAACCAGCACCTGTACAAAATGACCAAACCACAAACTGCAGAGGAGTGCACTACATTTCTCCTTGTAAGCACAAGAATACTTTAAAAAGGGGAAGAATAGAGCATAGTGCTGAAAGAGAAGGGAGGGGAAAGCTGAAATCAATCATAGGAATTCACAGGGATGACAAGGCTTCCCAGAGGCAACGGCAGGGGGGAGGAAAACTCACGATGGTCCCAAATCCGGATTCGCACTGTGATTGGCCGCGTTTGGGGGTGGGCTCATGCAGGGTGGGTGGGGCAGGCTGGTACTCACCGAGGGGCTGGAAAGAGCGCACAGGACTGGTGTCCCGGCTGCTCTCGCGGCTGGCCTCCCGGCTGCAGCCCTGACTCATACTAGGCCGAGGGATTCGGCTGCCTCGCGCTAGCGGCCGCGGCGAGCCACGGGAAAGCAGAGAGCAGCAGTGAGGAAGACAACAGAGAAAGGAGGAGAGTGGTCAGAACAGACACAAGGGGCACTCACTGCACAGTAAGACAAGGACAAAGGACCTCAAGGCAACAGCACTGCCTCCAACCCCTTTGGAGAGAGAGAGAGAGACAGAAAGACCACTGGAACAGGAACTGTATAAGAACACACAGGTCAGCTGGGATGTGGGGAAACACACACACACAGGAAATGAAGGATGGCTTCTGTTCCCGCAGATAATCCTCACCCTGCATGTCACATTCCCTTTACCAAAGCACATTTAATAAATAAGGGAGAAACAACTGCAGACTAACATTATAAAAAGGAAGAAAACAAGAAATGATTAGTGCTGGTAGCAGGGAGGAGGCTACAGTTCCAATTATCCAATCTATTTAGTAAGCTAGAGGCGGCGTGGGCAGACGCCGGCCCACTCCGGGTGTCCTGTGGCAGGGAATTCGCCTGGCAACACACACTCCGGAAGGACGAATGAAACGAGGGCCGACGTGGCACTGCCCCTACCGGGCAGCATCTTCTCCTTCACAGGCCACAGACGATACAACAGAGCTTCAGTCAAACCCTGAGCTGTTACTGCGCAACTGCGGGGCGCCGTTTTCTCACACCATCGTTTAGGAAAATCATCAGCCCTTATGACCACTGATTATGCGCAGAGCAGGAGACAATAACACCCCATGTGAACATGCACCGCTGTGGGTGACTCGAGGATGAGAGGCCCGTTCATGCAGAAAATCAGCTCAACCAACACAGAGCAAGTAGGCAGCAAAGATCACAAGGGACAAGGAGCCGTCTTCAGCATTTAGCTCAGAAAGTGCACTTCCTACCACAAACCTCGCCACTGGTCTTAGAGACATTAGGCGGCATGGCGGCAGCGGCCTGTAGGGGGTGCGGGAGAGACCGAGTCGATGAACCGCGAGCTGCTCTTACCTCCAAGGCTCCCGTTGTAGTGCTGGCTGAGACTGGAGGGGGCTTTGTATCGAGAGAGTAAAGTAAAGGCAGATTAGAAAAACATAGAACCTGTAGCAGCTCTCAAGCCTAAGCAAACACATCAACACATTTATGCTGAAAAGCCATTCAGACCTGCGAAGAAGCAGCAAATTTTAAGCAGCAACAAAAAGGGATCATAAGGGATGATTCTACTGGACGAGTGACACCAGCGGTTGCGCCTGAATGTAGTTAAACCCCACGAAGTCCAAAGAAAACAGCCGGTACCTGGGGTCTGGAGCCCGCAGAGAGATATGACAGACAGGAGTAAGGCATGACTGCAGAAGGATGAAAATGCTGAAGGAGGGACTCGAATGACTCAGGAGGATCGGAGGTCAGAGAGAACAGAGAGGAAGTGCTGAGGGCAACCTCAGCTGGACCCAGAGCCGCAGAAAACACAGGAAGCCCCGCTGCTTGTGGTTAGAAATACTTCGGGACAAAGCTAACACGACCACAATCATTCATACTCAGCCGGGTGCCACAAGCCGCGTCGCTACGCAAACATATAGTAAGATACAAAATGCTGCACTATGGAGCGAGTACTTTTAGGAATGCAGGCTTCAATATCTTGGTATCTTCACAGCCAGCAGTTATTTTAAATCCTATTATCTGTGTGTTAAACTTAATCAGTGCAGAGGAGATCAACTATACTTGGACTAGGAGGCAATGTGACTGACACTCTCTCTCTCTCTCTCTCTGATAGCTCTGCCCCTCACAAGGAGTTAAATGAAACCCCGTCCACCAGGGGGCGTACTCATCATGGTTGAGAAGCAGTTTACAGTTGCAAAGCAGGAAATTAAACATGGGAGACTCCTGACTGTGCTTCTTGAAGAGTGGCACCCAATCAGAGGGCATCAGAGGGTGAAGCGAATGGGGGAGGAGCATCAGCCAAGAAACAGCAGGGCGACCAGTGAGATGGAAGCTGAGGAGGAGGGTGGGGCTGCATGCTCCTTACCGACAGAGAGGCGGGTGGGGCTGGAGTCCCGGCTGCAGCCCTGACTGCGGGGAATACGGCTGCGGCGCTGCGACGAGCCCGGGCCGGCCTGGACGCGCTGGGCCCCCACAGAGCCGACTGTGCTGAGGGCCGTGCTGGCCAGTACCCGCCCTGGGGAGCCCGACCGGCTGCCCGCTACAGGAGGACAGGGGAGAGGGGCAGCCGCATGAGAGACCTGTCTGACCGGGGAGAAGGGGGCACATCGCCCCCCAGGGGAGAGAAAGCTGGGCGGAAGCTGTGCAGAGCCGGGCGCCCCTGGGGCAGCCAGAGCGCATGGACCCGGGGGCAGCCGGCTCTCAGCTACACACCCGCCTATCTCCAAGACGACGACTGGGGAAAGCCCATTCCTACAGACAGTACAGCGCAAAACCCTGAAAGAACAAAGAAGAATATACATTTTAAAATAAATGACTAACATCAGAGCTAGCGACGCACCAAAACAAATTTACCTAATTTTTTATTTATTTTTTTTTAATTCGGCTGAATAGCAAAACCAAAATAAACTTTTGTTAATTACTTGATCATTTATGTACCGACTTGTTCAGATGAATGTATTCGGTTAATTTTGCTTTTGAGTTTATCAATTAAAAGAGATTATGAATGCAGGTGGTTTCATTTGAACAAATGGCAAAAAAAAACAAAAAACAATGAACGTCAGCCTCCTTCAGCCACCAAGACGAGTGCGGGCCTTTTGTTACTGCCGAAGCCCCATTAGTGTCAATAGCAGCGAATCCGACACCCTAAACCAAAAAGGTTCAATGTTCCCAATACAGCGGATGCTCCGTCATGAAATCGTAAAGCTGAAAACTCCACATCCCACTGGAGCCTTTAGTTCCATTCTGATTACATTTCCCAACTGGAACTGTCATTTTTCTCGTCGGCAGACGAGGAATACAAAGCAAAAGTAAATATATAACATAAAACAATGTTATTATGGGTTTTACAGATTTTTTGGATCGACAGCAACTCCAGCTGTGGAGATTATGGACCTTCCCGTTGTTTTCTTGATGGATGAACGTTATGCTACGGCGACGGCCCACGGGCAAAAGCGAACGAGATGCCGAATCACGCTGCAGATGGCCGGTAAGCTGGTGGCTCTAGAAAATTCCGTTTTTTGCTTATTCAGCCGAATACTTTAGTTTGCCGAAATTTCGGTGCAGCACTAATCAGAGCAGGGAGGCTCAATCCAAAGCGGCTCTTAATTCTTTCAAGGTTTTTTCCTTTTTGGATCTAACTAAAGGAATCATGAAAGGAGAGAGGACACTGCAGGATGCAAACCTACAGGACGCCTCCAGAGCAGTGAGACCTCACTGACCGCACTGCACTGAGGCAGGAGCCTCAGTCAGGGCCCAGCAAGAGAGCCTGCAGTACCAGCGACCAGGTGACTGCTGGAAGAAAGTAACCCCCCCCCCCAGCATCTGCCCCAGGAAACCCCCCACCGAAACGACTCTCACACTGGGAGACCCAGGTTATAAAGACTGTGGATTAAAGCAGAGTTATTAAAACAGGTGTCCCTGAGTTAAGAGCAGAACCGAAAGCGGTTACTTTGATTTTACCTGTGCGTGTACAGAAGGGAGTCACATAAATGAGACAAGCAGTGAAAATGAAGCAGAGCAGGGACAGGGGGTTTCCAGCATGCAGTGCAGGGGCAGGCATAGGGCCCCCCCAATCAGGCCAGAGGCACTGTGTGTGTGTGTGTGTGTGTGTGTGTGTGTGTGTGTGTGTGCTTTTTTTGGGGGGGGCATGAGTGAGTGGACGCACACACAGATACACAGATAACATACAGAAGCTCTTACCACCGACAGGGGTAGCAGACTGAGATCCTAAGCGGGTGTCAATCATGGGGCCGCATTTTATCCCCAAAATGAGCAGGGTTGGGTTTAGCCAGTTAAGCCAGGGTGGGATTGGGGGGCAGGGAGGAAGCGGGGGGCAGATTAATTAATGGCAGCAGGGGGCACAAACAAAGCAGTGCTTTATTAGGATAAATAAAACAAGGACACAATGAATATTAGTTTAATACACATTAACAGCAGCAAAATAAATGGGGGGGAGGGGCAGAGCAAGCGAGGCAAAGCAAACACACAAACGGGCGCCGTGCTGTAAACATACTGTCTGACACACAAACGGGCGCCGTGCTGTAAACATACTGTCTGACACACAAACAGGCGCTGTGCTGTAAACATACTGTCTGACACACAAACGGGCTCCATACTGTAAACATACTGTCTGACACACAAACGGGCACCGTAGTACAGCGCTGTGCTGTAAAATACTGTCTGACACAAATGGGCACCATACTACAGCGCTGTACAGTAAGTATACTGTGACACAAATGGGCACCATACTACAGCGCTGTACTGTAAACATACTCCCTGACACAGACACACACACTATACTGTTAGACCATCTCTCCAAAGTAGCTTTCTCCATTTTATTCATTTTTTATTAAATTTTATTTCTTTTTATTTAAACCCTCCCCAGTGCAGACCTGTACACAAACCACTTGGAAGCTGGATGCGTTTGCCCTGACTGCACATTACTGCAGACTGGATGGGCATGTAAATAAGGCCTTGGCAGGTGCGGAAAGAGCCGCACACTTTTCTGGAGGCCAGGAGGGACTAAGAGCAGCTTTATGCTGCACGGAGCCAACGAGCGTTTGCTGCGTGTCGTCAGGTAGGGTGACATAGCGACACGAGCAGAAAAGGGCTCTGGGAAGCCGCACACTTCAGTGGAAAAGCATGCAGGAAGCTACACCCACCACAGCAAAACAGTGAGTGCCCGTAAATAAACAGAGCCAGCCGAGACAGATCACACACACGCCCAACACAGGGCAAAATACCTGGGGTACAATCAGATTCATCAAAACCTACAGGCACAAAAAAAGCCATGAATCAACTTATTCTCAGGAGACTAAAGGCAGTTCAGGCCTGGCAAAGGCTACAAGGCCACGGCATGCCGGTGGCACATAGGCATACTTACGTTGTGACTGGGAGACCACCTTGCTGCGAGTGCGCCCCCTGGAGTCCACTTGGCTGCTGCCCGCAGTGCTCGGCACCGTGGAGAGAGTCTGCTTTGTGCGCAGACGACCTTCGGGACAGACAGGTGTGACACGGTTACTTTCTCAAAGTGGCACCAAGGGGCACACTTTCCAAAGGGCTCATCCACACTGCGTGCTTCACTGTAAAAACTGGAGTATTGCTCCACCAAGGCTTCTGCCATTGAATAGTCTGAGACTGGGAGGCCAGGTCAGAAGATCATTCTCTGGCAAATGCCCTCGGATAGTGTAGGAGAAGCCAACCGCCAGTCAGCCAACTTATATTGACATATATTTGAACCGTATTTGCACTGTGTGCAAATGAACTTTAGAGACCTCATTGCTGTTTGCAAAAGAATTTTCGCTAAAAATCAGTACATCTCATCTTAAAATACCAGCCCACTCCTACTTTTGTGGGGTTTGTTGTGCGACAGCAGCAGGTGATGCATTTTTAATTAAAGCATTTTCTTCCATCAGCATCTTCGTTCTCAAAGAATAGCAGGTTAAATCCTCCATCAGGAGAAGACCCAAGCCACCGGTTCCATCATCAGGGTTGAGAACATTAATCCAGTGTTTCCCAAACTGGTCCTCGTGGACCCTAAGACCGGGATCTGAGGGTTAGCAAAAATGTGGACTGTCTGGCAGGGATCTGAGAGGGAGCAAAAATGCGGAGGTACCCTGAGGACCGGGTTGGGAAATACTTCATTAAATCAGCCGTGGAAAGACTGGCAGGATGTCAAGGGTTGTAAAGCAAAGGTCTGAACTAGTCCTGTTAGGCAGGTAGGCCAGCAGGGTAGGGACACTACAGGGTTAACGCACTAGAGCAGTTACAGAAGCTAAACCTACTACACTCGACCATGACACGCAGAGATGGGGCTCTGTTCTTACCCTCATCGCAAAAGGTCCCTAAACAGAGAGAACAGGATCGTCTGTCAGTCAGAATGAGCAGCTACCAGAGTTGTGGTTCTTATACAAATATTTCTGCTTAAATCACCAGTTGAGTTTAGCTACGCTGCTGGTATGACGAGCACCACGCAAGTGAAAATCAGTCTGAACACAGTGAAAACATCTAGTGATTTTACAGGAAGTTACAGAGTTCATCTGAGGAAAATGACAAGAATATCAAGACTCACTGTTAGAAAATAAAATCCACATGTTCTAAAGGCACAGAAACAAACCGAAGTCATTAGTAAGGTGCACAGCATTGCGAGGTCATGCCTACGAGGGCAGGGGTGCCCAGTGACAGAGGCGACAAACTCCTGGGTGTAACTTACTGTACACTCTGCGCGACCCCCCCCCCCAGCCGCTTACAGAATCACACTCCTCCGGCGTGTTAATTCCCTTTGATCAGAGCTTATTTATTGACACTCTCATCACCACTAAGTATTAATGTAGCCACCCAGACAACGGGCTTCTCAGCAGGAGCAGCAGCAGGGGGCAGAAGCGGGGAGGGGCAGCGTGTTCTTACCGTCCAGCTTATCAGACGAGCCGCCGTCTGCCATGCACGGAGAAGAGAGGAGAGCGAGTGTGTTAATGCGAGAGGCAGATGCAGAACCAAGAGGCACATGCACACACACATGCATGCACGCAGGCACACGCACAGAAGGACAGAGAGGCACACCAGCAGCCACTGCTCTGAGAGTCAGTTCTAGACAGAAAAACGAGAGAGGACAAGTTGAGAGAAGACAAGAGAGAGAGAATCACATGCTGCAGGTAGCAGATGGAGGTTCCAGACGCTGTACCAGTAAAAGCTGCCTTTTCTTTAAGGGACCCCAGACCCTGCAAAGGCTGGGGACGATCAGGACCCCACAAGCACCCCCAATGCCACACTGACTTACCCAGAGAAGCGTAGGAGCCCGGGGGCAGTCCGGAGGCACCCAGCCGGCCGGTGCCCCCTGTATGGGCAGTGAGGCGGGCCTTGGCTCCGGCGGCGGCGTTGACATCCACATCGCTGCGAGAGCGCTGCAGCGACACGGGCGAACCCGCCGCCTTGGTGCTGGCCGGGACTACAGGGGCGCAAGACGGGCCAGGGCAGTTAGACGGGACGGGCTGCTTTTCAGCACGCGCACACACCGCTCAGAGAGCCGGGCCGATCCGAAGAGCCCCGGCACCGTGCCGGCCACCAGGACAAGCACAGACCACAGGAGGCGATGGCGGGATCTCACCTCTTCCAGGAGCCGCAGACCACACGGATGGCGAAGGCCGGCTGGCGAGGAGACAAGAGCCAAATGAAAAGGAGCGGTCAGCACAGGTATGCATGGGCCTACAAGCAGTCTACACGCCACAGACGCGTCACACACTCGCCGGAGTGTAACCGCACAGCAGGCCGCGGAGCCCCAGCAGAAGGCCGAGAGCAGAGCGCCTGACTCTTACTTAAGACTCTCCTGCGAGCTGGAGGAGGAGCGGTCCGACTGTGGCAGCGAGGTGGCGCTCCCGGCCCCCCGCAAGCACGACTGCAGGTTGCGCTGGTAGGACGCCTCCAGCGAGTTGTACAGAGAGTCCGCCTCCGAGGGGAAGTGCTGCCGCAGACCCCAGTATGCCCTGAAGAGGCAGCAGAGAGCAGGGAGTCTCAGTAGAGTGACAGGAAGAGGATAAGGTACACGGGGTGGGGGCGGCAGGGGCTTGAGCGTACTTCCTGGCCTCGACACGAGCCTCGGCGTCTGCGTCCCGGATCCCCTTCTTGATGCTGTCCACCAGCACGGCGGTGTGCCTGAAGGAGACGGACAGAGACAGGCGGTCTGTACAGCCCCACAATCGTCACTATGACAGTTTACAGTCAGCTGTGTCGACAGATTCCAGTATACAACTGCACCGCCATTACTGGGTACCATTACAAGCTGCTCACTGGTCCAGGACCTGCTCACCTCTCCAGGGAATGAGTCTGCCACTCCTGCAGCAGAAGGTCCAGGAAGTCATAGCAACGCCTGCAGGAAACACAACATCATCATCGACCACCAACGGCGACCCCGGACTGGAAGCAGGTCACTTAGGGCCACATTAGAGAGCTCACCGTCTGACGGCCACCGATTTGGAGGTGCAGTTGCTGGTGATGAGGGGGATGAGCCTGGGGACGTGTGTGTGCTGTGGGGGGGAGCAACGGTAGTCAGGGGGCGCCGGAGAGCAGGAGGGCAGACCAGCGCAGCCCCACCGTGCAGCACGCTCCACCGACAATCACACAGCACAGAGCAGCATCCAACACAATAGTCACAGGGTCACCACTGGCCTGCTGAGTGTCCGGTATGTGGAAAGATCTACACGTACAAAATGAAGCACGGCGAGCCACCGACTGACCCTCTGGGGGGGGGGGGGGGGAGACGACTCACCCGGATGATGAAGCGGATGGCGGCCACACCCGAGGTGGCCATCACCTTGGCGCAGTTGGGGATCAGATTGAACAGGATGGGTAAGATTGCTTCTGCACCATGATCGAATCTGTTAGCCAGCACTGTGGACAGGTGGCTGTGGGGGGGGGGGCACCAGAAGGCAGCAGTGAAAAGTGAGGGGACACAAGGCCGGTCCTCTATTGACCAAGGCAGCTGAAGCCCCCCTCCCCCCCAGAAACAGGCTGGGTGCTCATTCCCATCTAACGTTTAACCCCAATACCGGCTTAAGGAGCACCACCGTGACCCCTGACCCGGAAGCACTCACGCCACAGTGATGCAGGCCTCGCGCACCACCTGGGAGCGCAGGTCCTTGGCCGACAGCTTGAAGGCGCCGTCCAGCAGGCGCAGGTGCTGGTAGAAGCAGTCGTAGTCGGTAGCCCCAGCCACCAGCAGCGAGCGCACCTTCTTCAGCTGGGAGCCACAAAGGAGACGCGTGAAAACCTCACACTCACAGAGCGCTGGAACACGGCAACAAATTAAAGGCATGGTGCAGAAAAGGACGCCCCAGACTATATCAGATAATTCAATGCTATGTTCATGCTAGGGACTTGAATCAGCCAATGAGATTGCGACCCAAGAGAAAGATAAGCCTAACCCTAACCCCCAAATCAGAGGCTTCGTATGAGCCCTCACCGCATTCGTGCGATGATCCCAGTCGTGCTTGTCATCAGACAAAATCTCACGTATCTTGTTCAGGTTGTCCTCAAGGTCACGGGAGGAGTAGATCTACAGGGAGAAGTCGGTGGAGAGCTTGAGTGTCCCAGGCAGAGATCCAGCAAAGGACATGCAGCTCCCACACCCAGGAGAGCCCATATCTACCTGAACAGTAGGCACATCTGTGAAGGCCTTCTGGAAGTCGTCTTCATCCACGGCCCCTGCCACGTCCTTGGATGAAGCTGTCAAAAGGATGAGGGGCTGTGAGCCTCTGCCGGCTGAGGCCGCGGGCGGGAAGACGCGTGGCACGAGGGCCTGCCCGCATGCCAGTGTGTGCGGCGGGTCACATGCAGCCGGGTGCCGTTGGCACCGTTTTGGCCAGATCAGCACACTGAATCAGCGTCGGAGCGAGTCAGTAAGCTCTCTGTGCTCTATAAATCAACCCTGACCATTAGTTGCGTCAATGTATTCCAGCCCTCAAACGGCAGCCACCTCTAACCCTGGCCGATTAACGAAATCATTCTTTCTTGCTGGTTTAGCATGTATGCGTGTGTCATGCATGTGTGTGTGCGGCGCTGCTCCACCTGCGCTCTTGGCAGCGCTGCTGGCACTGGGCCTGCGGGCCGCATTGCCGGGCTTCCGGGTGGCCGGGACCTTAAACACCGACTGGCCAGACGTGGACTGGCTCCCATCCACCGAGTCGTCGTCGTCAAAACTCTTATCTGCGGGGGGAACCATCAATGCAGAAAGTATTAGGAGAGGGGAGCACGACGGGGTGAGTAGATTCCTGGTGCCAGCAGAAGGTTCTGAGAGCTTGACGTGCCAGGAACAAACGAGCACAAGAAGCGTCTCACCATGCTGCCAGACCACAGACATGCTGCTGTCACCGTGACGACAGCAGCCGCACCCAGGACTGCACTGGAACCCACATGAGCCCAGAGGACCCCAACTCATCACACCAAGCACCACCACCACCACCACCCAGCAGTCAGAGAGCGTCCAGGTTAGGGGGAGGGGGCTCTGCCTGCCGCTCACCCCACAGACTCCCATCCTCACTGGTCCTGACCCACGACCACGCTCCCTCCACTTCCCTGCAGAACAGCCCAGCAGACGCCCCATTGTAACTGGGCTGCCTTCAGACATTCAGCACTCGGCCAGCGGTGACTGACACGCGCTGCACACTCACTCGCGTCTACACACTCACTCGCACTACAGGGCCTTCACTGTAAGATTTCCCATTTCGACCATTGAGGGTGGAAGACAAACTGATGAATCATCTTCTCAAACCGTCAGTGACATCTTTAAAAATATTTTATGGTCACTTTTTCCTTTTTTGACCCAAATAAATGGTTGACATGCTGACCTGTGTCTACACCAGGGTTCTTCAACTCTGGACCTCGATTCCAAACCCAGGCCGTGTTCTCAGTTCTCCTAGGTAGTGGTTTAATAATTACTGACTCTGATTGGTCAGAGGCTTCACACCTGACTGACAGGTAAAGGAAGGCTGGAAAACCAGCAGTGCTCGGACCTCGAGGACCAGGAGTTGAATAACCCTGCTCTATACTCTCTCTCAACCTTGTCCTTGGGGACCCTCAGACAGTCCATGGGAGCTGGGAAGGAGCAAGAACATACTCCGTCTGGGGGTGACCGAGGACCAGGTTCAGAAACACTGCGCTACAAAGGGCCCACAGAAGCAGATTTAAATGTGACAATCAAGACTAATTTGTTCTGAGGTTTGGGTCTGAAGTCTGGGTTCACTGATTGAAATTTCCCTGTAGTACACAGTTTGTCCATAAGAGGGCAGCCACAAACCAGTTGTCCATCAGGGCCTCTTTTCATCCAGGAATTCCCCTCTGAAGGCAAAGTGACTACATGCTAAACCACCATCAGCATGCAAACCCACGGGCTCCGCGCTAACCGGCCTTACCAGCCAAGCCAGGACACAGCAATAGCTCACATGGAAACCAGAGATACAAGTGTGGGCAGTGGTGGCTTAATGGTTAGGGAAGCACACTTGTAATTGAGAGATTGCTGGTTCGAATCCCCCTGAGTTAGCTGCCCCCTGCTATGTCACATATGGGTTAAATGCAGGGGACACATTTCATCGTTGTGCACTGTGTGCTGTGGTGTGTCAACAATGACCACTGATCACCAAATTCTACTAATTAATACTATTTTAAATCCGTTTCTGCAGCTCTCGCAATCAAACAAGCCCAAGCTTAAAGGCACAGGACACTCAAACACAAGACCAGCAGGTGAACTTCGAACCTCCTGAGACAATGTGGGAAACCCAAAAGAGTAAGAAGCACACAGCTAAGATCCCCAGTGCTGGCCGTAAATAATTAACACTGTCATTTATGCACAAAGGGACCATCTGGCTTATAGCAGAGAGCAAAACCATCTCCCCCAGGGAGCTTTTATTCTGACAGAGCAATGACATCACAGCTCAGGAGCACCGGCTATTCACACAGAGTCAGGGTGAATGGAACAGGCCGCAGGGCGATGGCCGAACACCCCCACGCACCACTGCATTTTTCACGAGCA